AGTGAAGTAGATTACCAAGTTTGACATCCTTTTAATGTGTTCTGCACCTTGTAAAGGCTACAGCCGATTGGAAAGAGGGTTTTTTTTGTGAGTAGCCTGTGGAATGTTTTCCAGATTAGTTTACAGTTCTGCTTATTAACAGTGTAAAACATTTTGAAAATGTTTTTGTTGAAGCATAGATTCAGAACATCACAATATTGCCTGTACTATTTTCTCTCACATTGCACAGTATTACAGCAGCCACATTCTGGTTTATGTTTTGAATTTTGCATGAGAACGTTAATTATTTAGTTTTATATTATGACTGCACAAGTGTTAGACATAGGGAGTTGTTTGGTGTCAGAAGTCAGGATATAACAAGTACAAGTGTTGTGTGTAACAGATTTGGTTTGCAAGGAAGGCTTTTGGGTTTTCATTTGGTTTGGTTTTTTTGAAGTAACTTCCTGACTTTGGAATTTCGCGTTGTGCAGTACCATGAAAAGTAAATAGCCAGCATTTCAGGGAAGGTAGGGAGGGGAAAAAGTCTCAAACTGTGTAAAGACAGACATGCACATCTAGCCATATAAAATTGCTGAGCATTAAAAAGGCTAGGCTTGGGTTAACTGTGAAAGCAGGAGCAGTATGAAGAGGAAAAAAGTGCTTCTAAATGAAGATACAGGAAAAGCTGTTTTATTCCTAGTTTATTAAAAACATTGGGTTTCACTTGCAATTTGCATCTCAAATTGAAATGATTTTTTTTTTCATCTAGCAGTTGAATTGAAGTAGAGAAAGATTGCCCTTGAGACAAGTTGGTTGCAGTTGCACGCAGGCTTTACAGTGAATTCTAGTATGCCAGTCTTTATTCCAAGTAATTGAAAAATTAACAAGTTTTAGCACAAATAGTGAACTTCAGATGTTCCCCAGCTTCAGTTTCTTCAATATTCTGAGCTGAAATCAAGGTCATTTTGTGTTAAACTGGTAGCCCTATACAGCTTGTGATTTATCTTCCAAACGGAAGAGCCCCTTGAACTCTTAATTTATCTGGCCCTGGTTGATCCTATGACTGCACTATACTGTGAGCAAAAGTTTTCTCCCCCTTCTTTGGGGATTTTGAAAGTTTGGATGTATATAGAAACACTCTGTTTCAATTTAATTTGGTTTTTTTGGATGTCCAAATGCTGGAAATTTGCCAACAGTAAGCAAGGAAAGATGCTTTTAACCTTCTCAAAGCTGTTTTGTGTATGTGTTGACACCAGGCATGCATGTAGGCAGGCATTAATAGTAGTGGGAATTTTTCTGTACTGATAAGCACTTCATCTGGTCCAAATACACTTCATTCTGGAAGGAGTGCACACAGCTATAAAAAAATTCGGGTTCCTTTTTCCCCTTATGGTTTGGCATGATCCCTGCTTTTGTTTAGAATTTGTTCTGTATTGTAAGTTTGGGTTTGATTGTTCGTTGTTGTTGGGATTTGTTTGTCGTTACATTCCTCTTTGGCTAGGTTCTTTCAACATGTTTGGGGACCATTATTTTGCGGAAGTTATTTAAACTTGGCATTGGTTCTGGGATGGCAGTCAGTCAGGCTTCTACCCTCCCCCCTAGGTCGAGAGGCCTGATCTTTCTTAGTCATCTTTCTTTTGATGTGTTTAAAAAGCTTCTAGCTTTTAGTTTTTTACAAGTTATTGTTTCTCGCTTTGCCTTGCCACCTTATGGTTATGTTTTAACTTGCCTGTCTTCTCCGTTTTCCTTGAGAGAACATGTGGGGTTCATTTAAAAAAGGGACTTCTTTCATTCTAATTGCTACCTTTAATCAGCTGCTGACTCGTACTGGATTTTTTTTTTGTCCTTTCAGAATCTTTGCTAAGTGTCTTGTCACTTCTGATTCCCTAATACCACGTGTCCTTTTGTACCAGAAATTAACACTTTACCCTTTCAGTTTCTTCTTTTAACTTATTTTTAACTAGCTTTCCCTTTTCTGTGTAGTTGCCCTAGGCTTCAGCTGATCACCTGTAAGTTGCTGTATTTCTGTTGTGTGCTGTGCCTTAAGATCTGATGAAATCTGGTGTAATGTGCCTGACTGGACAAGATCTTTAGTAATTACCACGTTCTTTAAGCCACTGTGGATGGAAGAGCTTATAGTGTGTCCTTACTGCCCTAGGAGTTCAGCTACTTGACTGACAGTTCACAGGGAAGTTTATAAGGATGATCTAGTTAGTCCACAGAGTACAAAAGAAGGGAATAGGAAGTAATCGAAACTGGCAGGATAGATGCTCCTTGATTCATCCACCTCTCTTTCTTTTTTCCAAGGAAAATTGGTATTATACGACACAAAATCAGTGATGTCATATTGTATGATACAATGCTATATTGAATACCATATAATAATTGGCAAAACCTGCAATACCTGATCTGTAAGTCAGGTGGAACTTGGAAATGGATTTAAATCCCTGCCAGCATGTGGGAGTTCGTCTGGATTTTTGTTCTGGTTTCAGCTGTAACAGTTAATTTTCTTCCTAGCAGCTGGTGCAGTGCTGTGTTTTGGATTTAGACTGAGAACAGTGCTGGTAACACATGGATGTTTCAGTTGTTGCTAAGTAGCACTTACCCTGATCAAGGACTTTTCAGTCTCTCATGTTCTGCCAGTGAGGAGGGGCACAAGAAGCCGGGAGGAAGCAGAGACAGGACACCTGACCCAAACTGGCCAAAGGGGTATTTTATACCACAGCACGTCATGGCCAGTACAGAAACTGGGGGGGGAGTTACCTGGAAGGGACCAGTCGCTGCTCAGGTCGGGCTGGGTATCGGTCAGTGGGTGGTCAGCAATTGTACTGTGCATCACGTGTGTTTTCTAAACTTTCATTTCTTCTCTTTTTGTTTCCTATTATTATCATTATTGTTATTGTTGGTATTCTTTCTATTATCACTGTATTTTACTTTAGTTATTAAACTGTTCTTATCTCAACCCATGGGCTTTACAGTCTTCCAATTCTCCTCCACATCCCACCCTGGGAGAGGAAGGAGGGTGTGAGTGAGCAGCTCTGTGGTGCTGGGTTGCTGTCTGGGTTTAAACCACAACATTTTTACAGAACATTCATTACTATGTCTATGGGATGAAATATGGCATCACAAGAGTATCTTTCTTGACCATTCTGTTAGGATGGTTTACTGATTAGCAAATACTACTAGTATACTCTATAGGAGGACTAGAGTTGTGAAACAGGAACAGGTAAATAAGTGAAAAATTTGGAGGAACTGAATTTAATTGCTTAGGATCACCTGTATGAGGCAATCTAGCCTTCAGCAGTCTGTTGGTTTTTAAGATGCCTTTCCTATGTACTTAAATCTTTTTGGTTTAGTTGGCTTTTTCTTTTTCTTCCTTCTTGTTTGTTGTTTCTTCTTGCAAGGGAGAGGCTGTTCATCCAAAATCACTATGCTGTATGTCTTGGGTTTATTCATAAATAGCTTATAAAGAATAGCCATGGCAATGTTCAAGGCCAGGTTGGACAGGACTTTGAGCAACCTGGTCTAGTGGAAGGGGTCCCTGCCCTTCGTAGGGGGGGTGGAACTAGATGATCTTTAAGGTCCCGTCCAACCCAAACCATTGTATGACTCTAAGATTCTGTGATCTAGTTATTTAACATAAGTGGTACTTTTGGGCTTGCATATATATTAGTGAGCTGTTCTTCCTGAATATTTTACTTCCTCAGCCTTAGAGAGAAGAGAGAAACCTTAATCAGTAGCTTTAATGTTAAGTGCATGTTTTAATATTTATTAGATTTCCTGAAGTTTAACAATTAGTTGGTGGATAAAAGAGAACTGCTTTTATGTTGTTTACATTGACATTCAAAGGCCTTATAATAAGGTTCTGGGAAAGAGACTACTTAACAGAAATTAAGTAGTTATTGCATGAGAGGTAACTGCCATGACAGGTCAAAATATCCATAATAAAGTGTAAAATTGAACGTAGGGTTTTCATCAAAGTCAAAATGAATGTGCCATTCAGGGTTTTGTATCAATCTTGCCATTACTGTATATTAACTTTGCAGGTAAAAAAAGCAATTGTAGTGAGATAGAAAACCTGTAGATAAAAAGAATGAAGGTAAATCAAGAAAAGAAATTTTGTGAAGACTTCAACAAACTAGAAGAGGCTGTGTAAAGGAGATAACGTTCCACACTAATACAAGTATAATCAAGTATAATGGAAAACGTGGTAGATGAGTAACTCATATGGAGCAGTGCTTGCTTTCTAAATTGCATCTTATGTTTATACGCTGAATTCTTAAAGGCCTCTTCCAAACTGAAGTATCTTTCAACTTTGGTGCAGCAAATACAATCCAACTACAGTATCAGATACTTCCTTGAAGCATCTTTTGGTGCTGCTATTAATAAAAAGCATCAAGTTAGAAGAAAAGGAAAAATGAATGCTTAATTGTTTAACACATGAGAACTTGGGAGTTTGCTTTTTCTTCTACCTTTCTTATGTCATACACTTAAAAATAACCTGCGTTTGATTGGAGTTTAACTTTACTTGCTTTTATACTTTATGTTCTAGCCATTCTTTATAGAGAAATTTTGCCTATTGCTTAATTCTAGTATTACCTGAAGGGAATAGTTGTTCTGCTGAGTTGATTGTTGATTTATTAATGACAGTGTAATAATAATATAAATGTTTACTAATAAATATGTATTTTTTTTGTTCTAGACTAGTAATTTTGAAACCCTTGTTGTTTGCTTCTGTGAAAATGTTAATGAATTTTAGAGTCTGTGCACTGCCTCTTTTTTCCCGTATGTTCTTTTACATTTTCATGTACTTGTTAAGCAGAAATAGATATTCCGCAATGGGTAGAGTACCGTATTTCATTCTTTGTATGTGAACCTTCTGTTATGGGCTCTTCCTTATGGTTCTTCAGAGTAAACAGCATAATTCTTACAGGATTTCTTGCTTTAAGAAAAAGAAAGTGATGATTCTGCTCAGTTTTCTTAGCTTACCTTGCTTACCATGTTTTTGTGGTTTGTTCAAGGGCGTTGGGAGTTTCAGTGACAGACTATACATTTGAAGACTGTCAGTTAGCTTTGGCTGAAGGACAACTTCGTCTGCCTTCGGACACGTGTCTTTTAGAATTTGCAAAACTTGTAAGAAGCCTTGGGTGAGCATATACAATATTTATATGTAAGATGCATCTTTACTATATATCTATGTTTATATGGTTTTCCCTTCATATAACAATATTGCATTATGGATATATATGAAATGTTTTTCTATTACAGTCAGGGAAACACTAATACAAAATTAAACCAATACTGATCTCCACTTACAAGTGCCACCTCTAGATCCTCATGAGTAGAATAGGTCATAAAATTTTTATTTCCACAGTCTGTCAAGTGAGCAGAGTGTGTCTGAAGTGTTCATTCCTGAACAAATCTAAAAGACACCTCCTGAAGAGTGTCTGGAGTACTGTGGGATTCCTAATATTTGATACAGTTAAGTCAGTTGCCCTTCCCTGTGACACTATGAAAAGAGAGCAGTGCTGCCATAACAGTCTTGTGACTGGAGTAACGTTATAATAGTGGGGGCAGAGGGGTCACCCTTTCCCAAGAAGCACAAAGCAGTGGTTGATCTTTTGAGTAGGTTACTGCTAAATGGACTTTCTAATGAAACTGTACGTTAGTGTGTGCAGCGTGGCTCCTCTCTTCTCATAGTGTCAGTTCCCTCTGGCTTTAGCTTTCAGAAAAGCATCAACAAACAGTGAAAAATTCGCATAAACCAAATAGTAGATCTTGTTGCTGCTATTTTTCAACTTTTCTCCTGTTACTCCACTAACTAAATTTACAGCCTCATCCTATTAACTGCTTTAATATACAAACACCATTTTTTGTCTCCTCACCTGAAAGTATCGAGCATAGTTTCATGGCTCCATTCTGTACTTTATTTCCTTTCATTAATTTCTCTTTCATTTTCCAGCTTGTGTGCATAAATGGAAAAAAAAAAAAAAAAAAAAAAAAGCTCTATTGGAGAATAAGGAATGTAGGACAGCATATTATTAATCATTCAAGTGACAAGCAATATAGTAATTTGCTGTTAGGACCCTCATCTGATAAGACTTCCAGTAGAATAGGAGAGACTTTTAAGGGAAAGCAAAGATTCTTGCTTTGTTCCAAAGGCTCTGAACTTACAGTACTAAGGAAAAAAGCAAACAAAAAAAGCTCTATTGGAGAATAAGGAATGTAGGACAGCATATTATTAATCATTCAAGTGACAAGCAATATAGTAATTTGCTGTTAGGACCCTCATCTGATAAGACTTCCAGTAGAATAGGAGAGACTTTTAAGGGAAAGCAAAGATTCTTGCTTTGTTCCAAAGGCTCTGAACTTACAGTACTAAGGAAAAAAGCAAACAAAAAACCCCAAACAGCCCAAACACCCATTTCTCTTCTTACGCAGTTGATAATCCCGGGATTCAGTTTAATCCTCTTGTTAAATTGTCTGGCTTCTGTTTGCTCAATTTAAAGCTGTTCTTTCAAATTATGCTTTTCTGGGTTTTTGTTTTGGCCTCCATTTGTGAGTGAGGTTTCCCACAACCCAGAATTTCTCTGTCTGGTTTGAGTAATTGTACGTTGGTAAAATATTATCCTGTCTTGATTTGGATATGTGCCAGTAAGAGGGCTATCATGATGGTACTTTCCTGGCATGATTAGGTGAAGATTGTAATATGACTTTATCTCTAATGCATGTTTGATGGTGATGCAGTCATTTTACTGTCTATTCAAAGGTTTTGAGGCCAGGGAGGCGTTAAGATCAACCATTCACATCCCTAAATAACTGAAACAATAAATTTTATCCAGTGGATTTCGCATCCAGCCTTAATACTTTTTTTTGAGCAGTAACATACCTTCAAGGTAACATCCAGTTTTAAATTCAAGATTTCTTTGATAAGGCAAATCCAGGCTTGGTTTTGGTTTAGGTTCTTTGAAATCAAGTTATACCTCAGTTTGCTACGTTCGGGAGTTATTTCTGTTCACATTGTGTATCTATGGGATTCGTTAACATTGTCTGAAAAATTTGCTTGCTCTGTGCTCAGCTGGATGGGATCCAATCCAGAAGCCATGCAGCCACAGCAGCAAGTTCTCATGCTTCGTCTGATTAAGATCCTGGGTTCTGTTAACACAGCTGTACAGCTGCTGGGTCACAGCTGGCTGAAACTCAGCTGCCTCCTGCTGAGCCCTGTGGTAAAATGACTGCTGTACCGATGAGATCAATTGATCATAGTCTCATCATCTTAGATTCTGCGTTTGTTAGTCCTCAAGCAGTTATGCTTCTGTTGAGCCTGGTAATCTGTGTCTGAACAATATGCTGATCACTAAGCTCTATGTAGTCTTTATTGTAGCTTTCATACACTGTAAATCTTCTGCTTCATTTGATTGCTTATTCCACAGTTAATTACCCCACTGTTCAAAGTGATTGTCTTCTTTGACTGGATCTATTACCATGTTCTAGGTATTGAATCTTACCTGATTTTTATGTCTTATGAAAGACTTCTTCAGATATCTTCTCCTTCAGAAAACGTTAATACAGTATGATTAAGTCTTATCTCCATCTTTTTATCTTTAACAATGGGCAGCAATTTATTTTGGATTTCTTCTTGGATCCTTAACTACTTCCTTTGTTTTCCTGAGCCTGAGTGTTCAGAGGTCTATAACAAGAATAAGCCTCTGGAGGATGTTGTCTACGTGCATTCATGATAAGATCAGTACTGTCCATTACAGGAGGTGATTATGGATCAGGTATAACATATCAAATACCAACAATGATAGTCCCTGCCCAGTGGATCAAGGCAGGGTTTTCCAGAGTATTTGGAATGTCAGTTTTGCAGCTGTTCAGTATCCTTTCTGCATTATGACAAGAAGCAGCACAGAAATAACACTAGCATACATACAACTGAATGTATTGTGCTTTTCTGGCTTAGGGCATGTTTCTCTGAGCTTACAGTTTACAGTAAGTAGCTGCAAGATCCAGCTGTTCTTAAGCAACTTCCAGCTCTGAGAGACACTAGAAGGTTTTTGTCAGGTTCTCAGTGTGCAAGAAAGGAGTTTGTTTTCAAATAGTCGAATACAGCTGAAACTAGCTTTAAGGAGGTAAGATGTCTCACTGGCTAAAAATAGTGGTAATTATGCTGAAAATACCCTACCTTCAGGGATCTGGTTTTCCTTGTGAAGTCTGCTGTGAAGGATTTAGTGTTCAGAGCTGGTAATCTTGAAAAATGTCTTTTCCATCTTCAGGGACTTGGAATGACTTTTGGTTTTCTCTAGTGCACATTGGCCTAAAAAATGAAGCAAAACACCACCACAGCAGCAAATAATGTTATGTATTATAAAGCCTAGATCCTGCATGGATGCTTGACATTGTTTAGTTAGTACACCTTTGATAAGTCATTTAAGTAATGGCAGACAGCATGGTAGTTGTAGCTGTGTTTTTACATAAAAGCAGTAATTTTTAGGAAGGCTTTTTTCAAGAAGTGATCATGGTTTGGAGCTGATGTATCAGATAATCTTCCTCTCAGAAACACTCTTATCTTTTCTCAGAAGCTCCTGAGAATGCTGATATAAAGTATTTTATTCATTCTTGTCACTGAAAGGAAGCTGCTGACGAGTCCCAGCTGCAGTCTGGTAACAATTCTGGAGTGAGCCTATGAATTCTGTAAATAAATAACTGCTTTTCCTTGTCTGCAGCAGCAAACAGCAAACCAGGCAACTGCAGAATAATACTGCAGAAGATTATATTGACTTCCTTTGTCTTCAGACTGGAATGCTTGGATGTCCACATTACTCTAAATCAGTTCAGAGGAAACCTGCTGGTCAAGATTTTGTTGCTTTTATAGTAGGGAGGGAATTTCCTTTTCCCCACATACTAAGAGCACTATTTATCATATTCATAGTAAGACTTTGTTTCACAAAACAAAAACAGGAAGCTTGAGTTAAGGGTGGGAAGGATGACAATAAAAAACCCCGAACAAAAAGAACCAGCAGCCATGCTGCAGTACCATGCAGTAGATCTCTGCCATTCATTCATCAGTCAGAATCTGGTTTTGTAATCGGAAGCACTGAGGAAATTTCTGTAGCTATATTAACTGCTACAACTTTGTTCGGGTCACCTCATAACGGTGTCCAGCTCCAGACTGAATGCGAAGAATGGGGACTAGCAAACAGGATTAGCAGTATAATCGCTATTATGTAATCCCTGATTTCTTGTAGGCAAGATGCATCAGGTCCTTCCTGTTCAGAGACATTAGTAAATTTGGAAGCTTAATTGGTTTATGTTACTGTCCTACAATACAGCCATATTCAGGTGACCTAAATCCCACCTACTTCCTCATGCCTGGTATTTATTAGCTAGTTTTAGATGGTGTTTCTTGTCCATGTTGAACAGCTTACAAGCAGTAATCAAGGTAGAGTAATGGTTGCCAAGGTAGAACAAAGGACAGAAGTTTAAGACTAGAGTTCCTAAGCCTTTGTAGTAATTTTTGATACAGTTCAAGAGCTAATTTGAGCCTTAAAATTACATTATTAATACATTATATTATAATAAAGTTGCTTAGTAATTATGATTCTAGATTTTGTAATGTTTTACAGCAATATCGTCCATTGTTTCACTTGGTATATTGAATTTTGCATTGTTAAAACTGGGTTTATTTTTAAAATGTGCAAAAATAATACTCTTTCTAGGCTGAAGCCAGAAACACTTGAAGATGATCTTGGTAAATATGCTGCAAGTGCCATGAAAATGAAAAAAGAAAAGATTGATCTTAAAGAATTTTCAGCATACTTGGAATTTCCAGTTTCACACACATTAGAAAGTATGTTTGCACTTTTTGATGAGGTAAGCAGCAACATCATGTTTAAAAATTGGACTACTTAAAATAAACTTTGCTTTAGCCTGATTCAGTTTTAGTTGAGTTCACTGAGGTCTGATTTTGGCCAGTGTTTTTGAATATTTCACCATAGTATTTGCCTACTGCATTTCCTTGTCAGCAAGGTAAGAGCACCTATTATCAACTAAATAAAGCATTAATTGAGGTAGAAGTTAAAAGGAGCATCAGCTGACAAAACTAGTTTTCTTTTTAGATGCAAAATATGAAGAGGAAGAAACTTTGGCTGCTGCTTGTTGTGACTGAATGTAACGCCTGTTAGCTGATATTTCACTTAACCTTGTAAATAAATCACTTTTTCTTCTAGGGTGCCTGAAACCTGAAGGACCTAGGAACTTGGCAGATATGCCAGTTCTTCATACATCAGGCAATCAGTTAGAATGGGGAAATGACTATTATCTTTGCCTGGATGAGGTGCTGATTGGACCAGGAGGTAGATATGTGCACAGGGTTCTCTCTTAGACCAAAGAACAGATGTTACATGTTCAGGGCTTAAATTAGGCAAGTTTGCCCTATGGTTCTCCAGTTCTAATTTCTACCTGGTAATTCGGCTGGTTTAATGTAGAAATCTTAAATGTGCAAGTGAAGGGTGACAGTAGCAGCACTGTCTTCCAAAAAGATTTGAATTGTCGCTTCTGACTGAGACTCTGAAAAGGTCCTGCAGAGCTTAGGTGACCTAAGTTCTTGCCCTGGCATAATTCCATTTCAGTGAGACTTCTTTGCAGTGGCATATGTAACTGTTATGTAAATGATCTTTCTGAATATTCTGCATCTTCAGCAACTGTTGGTTATTTATGAGCATTCAGACAAACTGCAGTATTTTGAGGTGAGGTTTTCCTTCACAGAATGAAGAAGGCATAATTGACGTTCGGGAATTTGTCATTGCTCTGTCAGTTGTCTGCAAGCCATCCAAAACTCTGGAAACAATTCAGTTGGCATTTCAGGTAAGCAGTATTTTCTGCTTTTATGTAGCTTACTTACTTTTAGAAGATATTAATACTGCCATTAGACTTAACAGAAGCTTGTTTCACATGCCCTTTTAATACTTAATTACATTTTAAAACAACAGTAATGGAACATAAGATTAAGAGTTCGTGTTCAGAGGGAATGCACTGCAAGTTAATGTAAAATTATGGAAGTTTGAAATTGTTCTCTGTGGAACTCTGGTAGAATCCCTTTCACCACATTGAAACGTGTTGAAAACCTGAAGTACTTTGTACTGATTCCTCTAAACTAAAGGCTGATGAGTTATTCTTACTATTTTTTATAGCGTTTCAATCGAGTTTCATTTTTAATGTTAGTAAAATATTTAAAAACTCTTCCTACATCTTAATAGAGTTTTGGGGTTTTGTTTTGGGGTTGGTTTTTTACCCCCTTTTATCTTCTTGTGAAGATTTTCTTCCCTCTTAGACTTAACCACATTTCTGTGTTGGTCCTGTAGTCTCTTCCCAGACTTTATGCTTCCCAAAAGTGCTCCAGATCTTGTTCTGTCCTCAGTGGTTTGTTGTAGCGTCAGCATCGATGATTAATGCAGGCTTTTTGGGAAAGTGACAGCAGCAATGCTTTAATGCTTGCCATTCCTGTGGGTTTGTCTGATGCCTTGAATTATTGCTTGTTAATTCCTTTAATATTTCTATTTCAACACACAAACTGCTGCATCCTGCATCATCTCTTCCCTTTGCCTTCAACTCTTTAGTGCCTTTAGTGTTACTGAAACTGGAAAGTGCTAAATCTTGATGCTGTCTTCATTAGTGAGTTAATGGAATTGAGAACATTCAGCTGCATGGTACTACTTGGCAGCCTTATTTTCTGCGTAGTTGTTTTCAAGGTCTTCAGCATATGTGTATTATTCTCTTAACTATCTTTTGTTAAAGAAATGAGGCTCCTGTGAATGTTTAGTGTCCAGATCTATCATTCTTACCCTTTTGCCAATATAAAAAAAAATTGAAAAAGGAGGAAGGAGCAAAAATACTTAGTTCCTGCAGACATTTGGGAAAATCTGTGTCTAGTACCTGCTGTCAACCTGCTGCTGCTTCTGAGAGAAAAGCAGAAAGGTCTCTGCCCTTACTTATTCCATTTGATCTGTATAATGTTTTGTCAGCTCTGTGTCTTCATACTAAAATGAACAAGCCTAAAGCAAACTTGAAGGTGGCTTTTGGGCAATATTTCAGTAAAAGGTAGCTGTCGTCATGCATAATGTGCAATGTACATTTTAGGGGAAGAAAAGCTTAAACTGGACAGTTATTTTCCCTTGGAAGCACCCGATTTTAATAGAAATGTTCTGTTCTTCAATTCATAATACATACTTTTGAGTTCCCTGGTTAATTGCAAAATATAAGGTTAACTGTAGAACTGCAAAGAAGTTCTATGAATGTATTAAGAAGGTGAAACACTCAGCAAGGGAAAACAGGTATGGCTCAGTTTATCCTGTTAGTGGTGATTGGAAGGGTTAAGAACAGTCTCAAGCTGAGGAAATTTTGCTCACAGTGTTCTAGTAAAAATGGATAGAGAGGGGTTTTTTATCTTTTCTCCTCTGTCCTGGGTTTGTGTACAGTAAGATACTCACACAGTTTTTGAGAGCCACTGAAGGATCTAGCCAGTTCACAGGTGCGTGGCTTGATACAGATGCTGTCCTCCACCACACGCAACTTCTTGAAAAGCACTTTGTCATTTGTTTTTAATGATAAAGTGCAATGCTTCACATATATCTCCTGATTCCACAGACTCTCTTGGAGTTTGGACACACAACTCAAGTGTACTAATAATTATTCTGTTACACATCTGCAAAACTTGTTAGTGTTAAACAGTCTTGTCTCTGAATACCACTGAAATTCCAGTGGTTTATGCACATAAACATAGGGGGTTTTTTCTGAACATAGCAAGCTTTACTTTGTAAGTATACACAGGTGAACTAATAATGCTATCTTTTACCCAGACTAATCAGAAATCGTTAGTAGGTCACGTCAATCTGAGAGTGACTAGAATTTCCAATACCAAATTTTAATTTTGCATAACTTCTTAGTTACATGGTGCTGTTTATAGGAGTTAGCATTCAGTTATGCAATGATTTATCTTGCTGTCTTTATTCATAGCTGTACCAGTCAGAAAATGGAACTATAACAGAAGAGGATTTAGCTTATATCCTGAAGACTGCCATGGGTGTGTCACAGATTAATGTCACACATCTTTTTAAAGCAGTAGATGAAGAAGAGAAAGGAAAGATTACGTACGGTGAGTATTTTAAGTGGATCTGAGCTGTCACAAAATGTGGAAGTTATCTGAACTCATGTTGATACACAAACCAGTTATTTTTATTAAACTTTACCTTTTTTTGGGTGACTTGTTGACTACAATAATGATAAAAGCACTGCAAACAAAGTCAATTTACGTTTAAAAAATTTGAGTTTCACCTTTATCAAATGTGATGCTTGCATATTTCCAGAAGTTTACCTTCTACTTTAAGTCAGGCAATACCTGAATTCTCTTTCAGAATGTTCTGTTCTGTGACTTCAATGTATGTGAATATATGACTTTAAGAAAGCTATCTTAGCTCTGCCCCGTTGCTGTGTCTCTTTTATCTATTCCCCACTATTTCTGCCCTTACAGAACACAGGGTGGTAGAAAACTTTCTGCTCCCATAATAATTTCTCAGCCTGTTTGAAAATAAGTCACGAGGGGGGAGGGTAGAAGGAGGGGGTATTAGCCAGGTTGCTCAATATGTAGCCTGTAATGCAGGTGATAGGGAGGCAAGAAAGTTGCATTAGAAAATGGTGAGATCTGGGTGAATAGATTATGCTGGGAATTAAACTACTTGAGTGTTACTTCAGATTATTCATCTTTTATGCAGTAAGGTTCTAAATTTAGTTGTATGATTTAAATAAGAACTGAGTTGTTGATAGCCAACATAACACATACTTCCAATAGACGTGCTTATGACATGCCATGTTCTAGTGGCTTTCCTTCAGGATAATCAGTATGTATTTAATTTGTAAAAGACTTACAAATTAAGACATCAATGCTGGTAAATCCTAAACTAGTAATTCCTACATTTCAGTCGTACAATATGCATGTAAAGCTTCAACTACTTAATAAGTTAGTTACTGGAATGAGTATCATGGCCACAGCCCTTCCCTTTTTCCTGACTGCGATGTCTTGCCTTCTTGGTTCTTGCATGCTACCCCTTTCCTTTTTGTACCTCTGATCTGTCATGTCCTCAGCATTTCCTGGTCCATCCTATGCTATTGCCTTTTTCCTGCCTGTCTGTGTTGCTCCTTGTCCCTGAACTCGTTTGAGCAGTGACTCAACTCTTCCCCCAGCTTCAAAAATACCAGCACAGAATCTTCAGGTGGTAAGCCTAGCAGAATACTAATTTTGGCACACTCCATTGTTTGAGAATAGCTAAATTTGAAATAGCGTACAGGTGAACTCGGGCGAGTTCATGTGAGTTACCAAAGAATTCATAATTTAATATTCATCTTTAATAGTGCTTATTTGCATTTAAATCTGCACTTTCCGCTGTGTGATCATGGTGTGTTCTCATCACAGTAAAATCTGGACCACTAAGACACAGCAGTGGACACTGAAGTGCTTAGCTCTCGTTTTCACTGTTTTATTTCCTGCAGTTGAGAGTAGTCTCCTGCGAGGGCACACAAATTAGGATGGTGGTCACGTAATTTCTTTGAAACTTTGCTTGGATCTTTTTCTGAGAGAAGTGCTCATTTTATATTATGAGCATTGCACTGAGATTCTAACATATACGAAAGCTTAATAGTGAAAATAAATGTCCAGTTTATTCTGTTTGAGAATTAGAAGATGAAAGTAAACCTTTGGTATTGAATTTCTTTCTTCAAAATTCTTGCCTTTCCTAAGCATATAATTTTCCACATGCTCAATTTGTTGCACTTAAATGATGACAAAGGAGAGGTGGAAAACTTCCAGACTACACCTTTTCTGAAGGCATTCAACCATGACATCCAGTCAAGTTCTAAGAAATCAAAACTTTGTATCTGGTAAAAGAGTACTGACATTACTTGAGATACATATGGCAGAGGGGTCTGCTTACAAGCTTCTTTCTAGCATGTTGGAATGTGAAGCAGGAATATTAAGTCTTTAGTCTTACTTGTAAGAACAACAACAAAAAGAAATCCAAAGTAGCAAACCTAAGTTGCTGCACATATAGCAGAGTCCTTGAGGCCAGAGATCTCATCCGAAAGGAAAAGCCTAGGTTGCAGGTAAACAGAATGACCAACAGCAAGATCAAGATTGTATAATTAGACTGATAATCTTGGATCTGAATTGTTAGAAGTCTGTATTTTTGACACATCTTCAAAAATACACTAATTGTCAAAGATCTGTGTATCAGTTCTCTTAAGCAGTGTGCTGTTGGCTTACTTGTTTAGATGCACCTTGATTCCAGAGCTCCTCTGCTTACTGTGATCTGTAAAGAGGCAAGATTTCTCAATCTTAAAATATGATTCTGGAGAATCTGAATAGGTTCTGTAAGTGGGCATTGCAAATTTTGGGAAACTCTCCACCTGTTCTTGACAGACAAATGGTGACTGAAAAAAATGTTCTGAAGCCTGCCTTGCTTGACAGTAACAAGAAGAAAGGGGGGATTGGTAGTATTGTGAATACCTGTATGGATGAATGGCGAGAGAAGGAAGAAATATTTGTTCTTTAAAATGTAGTATCTTTATCAATATTATCTACAGGATTATCCTATTAAGTCCCTGTACATTAATTACATAGCTGAGGTGGAACAAAAACTAAGAGATTCATGAACATAGAGCTTCTATCAGGAGCATCAAGTAGTAGGAGGGTATTGCAAAGGCAGGAGAAAAACCTCTTGCAGTTCTTGCTGTATGTATGCATGCTTAATGCAAAAGCATAGGAGTCTTAAAGAACTCCACTTTGGGGTCTTTCCTTCTTTTTGTCTCTTTCCTCTTAGTAGAGGTAGGAAGCAAAACTACTTTTTTTCCCAAATAAATGACTATGGTTATCTTTTTCTCCAGTCTAATGCTTCACAGTTGTTTTAAGCTTGAGCTTCAAGATGAGACCTGTGTAATGCTGGAATAGCTCATTCTTCCTCCATTACCTTGTCTCACATTTCTGATGAATGAGGCAAATGGGATCCCAAGCACTTTTCTTTGGCATCTGCTATGTGCAGGTTTGATACATACTCCTTAATATCTTCAGGAGTTCTTTCATCAAGACCCAAAATGTCGACTTACTGAGCTCTACCAGAAACGACTGCTACCACTGTTGAGTATTTTAAGTATAAAAGAACACTCTACTTTCCCCTCTTGAAGAAGGTCAGATGCATCACATTCTTTGCTATAAGATTAGTGTTAGAAAAAAAGTTGAACTTGCATTAAAAATCTTTGCTGTATATATTTTTAAGCATTTAAGTTGGTGGGTTTTTCCCTGAAGACTTGATCATTTACATGATCAATCAGCCTTTTGTACATACAGGTTTTTCAGCAAAGATGGTAGTGTTGATTTTCATGGCCTGAACATCTTCATCTTTTGCTGAAGTTACAGTGTCCAAAATACTTCAAATCCATATCAACTGTGGATAAAAGACACGCTTTTTTGTTTACAGAAGGATTAAGTTGTTTGTTGCATTCTTCCTACCTCTCCCTTCGCAACAGTTCAGAAACAGGGTTGACCTACCAGTTCAGTGCCCCTGTGAGCCAAATGACATTCCCTTGCCCTTCGCAGTACTGAGAAAAACATGTCATCTGAAACGGAGAGAGGTCTAAGAGAGAGAAAGCTGTGGTAGTTCCTGTCTTCACAGCAGCCCAGTTGTACCAGGGATTCACGCCTCTGAAAGGGCTACTTCAGCTGGCATCTGTGCTGCACTCCAAGGAACTCGCAGATTGCCTGATGGCAAACTCTTCTGGGATAACACTGTGAATTTGAGTGGGCTGTGTGTGATACACTGTAGGTGACTGAGTTGGTGATAATGTTTTCCAGTATCAGTTTACATTATAAGAATAGCTGCTTGTGACTTGGATCCTGTACAGTATCTTGTGTTCGAATTATGCTTGTATAAACAGTCATATGGGCAAGTTGTGACAAGGCTTCAATGTCTGATTTTTAACACAAAATCATACTTCTTGATGTTAAGGATTTCCTGCCACCCCAAGAACTGATCTTGTTCTTTTTTTTTTTTTTTGTCTTATTTAGTACCCAACATTAAAATCAGAGGGTTTTTTTCATAATGTGTCACAAATTAATTGTCTTCTCACAGTAATATTCTCAAGAAAGTTAGGACTTTCTGACACGCTAACATCTCGAAAGAGGAAGGCAGCAAGGTCAGGTGCTGTTAGGCTGAATTAAAGGGCATGTTTGCAGAAGTCTTCCCAGATTTTAAGAAATGACTACTCTTGCTGTTTGTTGTTCCTCAGCTGGAGGCTCCTACCCTTCCCCCAGTGAACAGTGAGATGCTGTGTCAGGACATGGGGTGCTCCTCATGCATTTTAATGCAAATCTGAGTCTGTTTACCCCTTCACCACACAAGCTAAGCTTTGGTCTGAAGTGTGTTAAGAGGGCTTAGATAACCCTTTGCAGCATCTCAGCTCTGGGGATGTGGTAAACTTCTGCTGAGAAGCTAAAACAGCCTACGGGAATAGCATTATGTTAACTGCTGCTATTTTTCTCCAGCATGATCCTGTGATTATACATGTGTAAGTATTCAAATTTAGCATCCTTCTGTTTCAAAGAGCTGATTCTGTGTAACAACAATTTATATTTTTTTAGATGACTTCTACAGATTTGCTGAATTGCACCCACACTTTGCAGAAGACTATCTCTATGCTGATCAGATGGGAGCTGAGAGTGGCTTGGAGACTTCATCTCTTTCTGTTCCTAATGGTATCTGTACTGACTTCAGCCCTGATAGCACTGACGATAAAAGCAAGCCCCTGCAGAAGAAACTGAATTAACACTACAGCTGTTCCCTTCCTCTCCTGGTGAGAGGATTGTCTTTTCTTGGGATTTTCCTAAGTCACTCCAGCTATACAGCAAATACCAGTTTTGTGTGTGAAAGTTCTTCTACCTTAATACTGTTCTTTGAATCATATGTGCTATATTTAACAACATGTTCCAGGTTATTTTGGGGAAGGTGTTTTTTATTTTTTTATTTTTTCCAAAAAGGTCTTTGAAAGGCAAAAATGTGAATGTGCTTCATTATTAATGTTCATATTTAAAAGGAAGCGGCACACTTATTTATATTCCATTGGCTAGTTTCATGTACCAAGTGTCGCACAAACTGTGCATGTATAAAGAAACTGTAGCTACTATGGTGTTAAGTGCACTTTGGTGATTAGTGTTTTCCCTAGTTTGGGGATGTTTATTTTGGGGCCAAACTTTGCTGTCCATTTTTGCATAGTCAGTCCTGTTGATTTCAGTGGGATTATTCTCTTGAGCAAGGCAGGCATATTTTGGCCCTTTGTTTTGGTTCCAGTGAACAGTTTGGAAACAATAATGCAAAAACTTGCTAAGGATTACTTTTAATTTTTATTATTGAATGACAAAATTGTTTCTTTTTCAGTCTGTTCCATGGTAGGATGAAAAGGAAAGGTTCCTTATCCCTCACCCCAACACTTTTCTACTGTCGTCTTCCAGATGTAGTTAAATGTGAATGTTTTTCCAAACTGACATTCTGCTTGCAAATACGTGACAAAACTCTTTGTGCTTTTCTCTTATAATCAATTCTAATCATGCTCACCCAGCGTTTAAATGGGAGACATTTACACACTTGCAGTTACTCTCGATTTATCAGGAATCACAGATTTCTTTTGTGGCAAGCCTGTCTGTACAGATAACTTGGCATGGAACCCATTATGAAAGCTTTTTTGTATCAGCCCAAGTTTCAAAAGGTTGCAGTTACTTCAGAGGCCAAGCCAGCAACAAGCTGTAGAATATCCTGAAGAAATGCTAGTTAAGTCTCTACAGAAACATTTATATCTGTTATATGCAGTATATGTGAGCTTAAAATGTTTTAGAATTGTTTAAATGAAAGTAAAGAAACAAAAAACATCAACAAACAAACCTGCTTGTATTAGTAATGTTTCTTATCTCTCCTTTTGTAAAGCCAGATGCCTTAATTACCAATGGAGGTCTCGGAGAGAAATTCAGATTCTTATAAAACCACAGAGCTTCACTGATTGGGAAATGTGACAAAAGCCTCAAGGAGTAGGAAGGACTCAGTCACAAAAATAACTCTTGATGGCAACTCTACTTCCAAACAAACCAAAAATACTTTCACATCATTTCTATGACTGATTTTGTAGGGCTGCACTAAAATATGATGGCTTTTGTGACTGGAAAACTGTTGAGATCTGAATCTTCCACATATTAGAGTAATTTAGATTTGGAAGGGAGGAATTTTAGCAGAAGGAAATCTGTACCGAATGCTTTTATTACTATTTTTTTAAATAGCAGGAGATGTTTTAAAGTTCATTAGGGTATTGGAATATGTCCTTAGAAATTCCTGACTCTACGTGGCAGGTCTCCAAACTGAAACTGGCTTTAATGGAAAAGGTATGAGGAAAAAAAGTAGGAAATAATGCTTTCTGTGGGTCCTCATTTGGAGGTAATAGTTTTTGATTTATCTGGGTAACACATGCTGAGCTGACAGGGCTGCAGCAGACTGGCAGACAAAATTTGAGTCAAAACTGATCATGAAGAACAGAATAAATGGTTTGGAAAAATAAGGCATTTAAGGAACTACACTTAGGTAGGAATAGTCAGCTGCACAAGCAGAGGAGGGGGTGGGTATTACTGCATAAAACATCTTGGGGCAGGGATGGCATAGAGTATGACAAACAGCACTGTTAACCCATTGCTGCAGAAAAGATACTCGTTGTGGTGGGATGCATCAACAGTGTAGCTTGTGAGAAGCATGGTGGTATTTCTGTGTTTTCAAGCTGTGATAAGGCCTCAGGTGAAGTACCTGTCCATGTTGGAGCACCTGAGAGAGATGAGGAGTAGCGGGATAGATTCTGGAGGACGGAAAATACTCAAAAAGAAAAAAAAAAGAAATCAGGAAGTATTCTTTAATCAAAAGAAGAAGAGACTGGAGGAAGATGTGGAAACAGTCTTCCAATACAGAAGAAGTTGCTGTACAGAAGATAGGAACGGCCTTTTCTCCACATTAATAGTAGATACAGTGTATTAATTTAAACAGCAAGTTAAGCATTAGGAAGATTTCCTTACAATGCATCTCATTAAAATAGGGAGAATGGGTTATTCTAGGCGGGATGAGGAGTGTTCCTTCACTGCAGGCTTTAAAAACAGGTCAGCTAAGATGGAGACACTTGATTTTGTTGAGCATGCCCCAGGATACAGGGATACATCCCGAGGTCTACTTTCTGTGATTATACAGTATGTATTTAAGCCAGTATATTAGGGAACGCACAAGAACTGTAGTCTGGGCATATTGCATCTTGCAGACTTTTTATGGCATGTGGCTCAGTCTGGCTGAGATAGTTATATTTTGCTTTGTGTGTGAGCTTGGGAATTTGGGAATTTCAGAGTGCAGGGGGTGAGAGAGAGTTCCCTGGGACATGTCTGAAAAGAAGAAAAAGGTTAAGCTTAATATCCCATGGACAACTTAGAAGCTCCAGAGGAAGAGATTCTTTGTCCACATCTATAAAAGAGCAAAGAAAGCTAGTTGAAGTTAGCTAAATAGAAGTGTGCCTAATTTGCATGTATGATGCGTGTAACTTTGTCTTCTGAAAACCACAGGGTTTGTTCGGTTTCGTATTTGTTTTGGTGAGAGAGATGTTTTCTAATTGTGGTGAGCTTAATAGCTGCGCTTGTTTACAACTAAGCTGTGCAGGGTGTTTGGGTAGAAGGGTGCTGCAGGCTACAATAGCCACATTGCATGGTGAAGAGGCACTGAAAAGCGTGTGCGTCAGTGAGTTCTGTCCAGAGCTGCTGCTGGAGGCAGCCAGTGTACATTGTTTGCTTGGTGCGCAAGTGCTCTTGGTGGAAGCAACCATTAAAAACCAACCAAACAAAAAACCTTAACAAATCCACAAAGCAACACTTAGATTTTGGAATGAATTGTGGTGCTTCCATAGTAGCATGAATGGTAGGGTGCAGTCCTGGTCAGCCTTCATGAAAACGTTGTTAGATCACACAAAATGTCACAAAAGCCGAGATCAGTGGGTATAATTCAGGTGACTTTAGCATCTGTAGAACACAGGGCTATAGTGCTAGACTGCCTCGTAGTGACAGAAAAGCCACATTCCTGTCTGGTGGTGAACTCAGAGTTCATTGAGGGTTGAGCCCTGTAACACAGTGCATTACTGCAGCAATGTTCATCACAACTCACCTATCGTACTCCAACTGCCAAAATGTTTTAGCAGTTCCATCTAAGTAGCGTTTTTAAGAGGCATCTCACTGTGAAGAAGCCGGGTGGTGACAAGCAAGTTTCAGTGGCTTGCTGCAGTGTCAGGCTAGAAGTGAAAGCTTCCTTTCCCCTTCACCAAACACTGACATGTAAATGTTTTCAGTTAAAGTATTCTATATTTCACAAATGCATTGTTTTATTTTAACCGGTGAGATCAACAGCCCCTGAATTTACAGGGAGACACGTGAAGAAATGACTTCACTTCTTTGCATCAGTTTAACGTAGTAAATGATCCTTACACAAAATATGCAGGGGTGTGAGGCATTTGACATTTCTGATGAGCATTTTACTACTTTATGTAATACTTCCATCCCTTGCCAGAAGAGCTGTTGCATCAGACTGAATTTTTACATATTGTATGAGATGCCCTGCCAAAGCTTTGCTATTTTGCTGTGGTTGAACAAGTATACTCTGTAGTTTTAATGTATTTAAAGTAACGCAGAAAGCCACAAAATTCAAGATATCCAAAAAGCGTCGGGGATTTTGGTGGTGGTTTTTGCTTCATTTATATTCGCTGAAGCATAACAAAACCCCACTAAAACCAGACGAACGTTTAACAGGTGTTTTAAGAGACATGTTTAACCACTGTCTGTACCACAGTAAGGCAGGTGCTAGTACACATGTCTCAGGAGTCCACCGCTGTGAGCAGATACAATTAAAGGCATTGCAGGCAGTTTGTAGGCCGCAGTGGAGAAGTTGTGCATGTAATTTTGTATGAATGAATCATGCTATATGTTTCAATGCATTTATTGTAGTTAGGGTAATCTTACTGTGATAAAAAGCAGCCAGGCTTTGTGTGATTGCTAATCCCACTTTGAAGGTGTAAATCCTTGGGTCACAGAGGTTGAAAAGGAGGCACGTGTGCACTGGGGCAGTTGATGCAACCTCTTTAGTGGCAAAGCTGCTGGAAGTACATAGTTATGTTTTGTACACAGCTGTTTATTAATGCTTTCATGCATAGGTTTGTTTCACTGGCTAGGTTTGTTAGCTACCTTAGGCATTCGGCTGGTTGGAGTATTTTTTAATTCATAAAATGTAGCAAACCCTTTTCTGGAAAAAGCGTTGTTGCACTTCGTAGCTTGATAACTTTTCTAAAGCAGATGTGTTTTTATTAATTTATTAGTTCCCTTACACAGCCATCTCCGGCATTACCTGCTCCTCTTCCTGCTTTTCTATTAGCATGGGTTAAGTGCAGCTTTTCGCATTAGCTGTTTTAGTCGCATCCTGTTCTCTGCTCCTTCAAAAATGGTGTTCTCATTAAAATTAAGAAAAGGTGGAGGGGGTGTGACTTAAAGAATACAAGTTGTAGAACTTGGGCAGCACATGCCATAGATAACATAATATAAGAAAGACACTATTAAGCACAGCTTTGCGTATGTTATGGGACTGAACTAGGATGGAGAGAGAAAAAAATCTGGTTAAAAACTCTGACCAAGTCAGAATTTCCTTCAGATTGGAGTGTTGGTCCTAAAACCTCCCAAAATGTTGCGTTCTGCTTAATACAAAGATGACGGTTTGTTCTTTTTATTTAGCAGCAGTTTTATGAGTGTT